TAGCATGGCCTCCATAGGCCATACAGCCCTGCAGCTCACTCTCAGCATTGGCATAGACGTCAGAAAGACTGCCACAAGTTGGCGTCCTGGGCCACCTACATGGTGACCCTGCTGCAGAGTCAGGACTGCCCCGAGCCCCTCAGGTTCCATCATTCATGAGGAGCTCTCAGAACTCCAACACACTGCATTCAGTGCAGTCCCGGTTCTGTTGTCACAAAAGGATACAAATCCATGCCAGCCAAAAGGAGAGACTCGGAGCAAGGACCAGTGAGTTCCGGAGGTGGAGCTGCCCTCTCTTCTGGATTGTCACTTCCCAACCACCAGGAAGCTCACCCAAGCCTGCATGTCCCCAGTTCTTATTGAAGACTCGTTAGGTGGGCATGAGTGACCCGACCCCTGGACAGTGTGGTTGAACTTGGTCTCCAGCCCCGTGTTGCTCCCTGGAAGCTGGGATGTGATCGCACAGCTGAGCCCCAGCCTGCAATCACAGGGCTCACGTTTCTGGCATGGATAGCCCGCAGCCTGAGTCATCTTGTTCATGGTCTCAGAGATCCATTGGTTAGACCCGACACTGCAGCCATGTGAAGTCCAAGGAGCAGAGGCTACGTGCCCGGGAGCAGGCACAGGGGCCCATCCTATTCCTGCTGGGGTAGGGCCCAAGAATCTGCATTTCTAGCAAGTTCCTTGGAGGCTGTGCCGCCGTTCCGAGGGCCACACTGAGAAGTGCTTTCCAACAACGTGCCGCGCCTTCCTCAGCTTCCCCAGGCACTGTTCCTCACCAAAGTCCTGCTTGTCACAGGGAGGACGGGAACATGGGAGTCAGCGTCAGAACGCCGCCCGTGGCTGCGACAGACGCAGGCTGCCTCGTTGGCGAGAGGCGCTCGCCTCTCTGGGACTCTGCCTCCTCCCCTGTGAGACGGCTCCACGACAGGACCTGCCTCCTGGAGCTGACCAGATGGCTGATGTGCTGGCAGTGCCCCTTGTTCCCGACCCGGAGCAGCCCAGAGCCCATTGTCTGACTCAGGGCTGGGCCCCTGCTCCCCCGGGCTCAGAGGACTCCCATGAATCCCACCTCAGACCACCCGCATCACCGCCCTCTGCTGGCTTTGTCAGTGTCCGAGGAGGGACTCTGCTGGCCTGTCAGTCACAGGGCCCCGGGGGGCAGCCGGCGGGGGCCTTGCTCTCCTGGAGCCCGGGTCTTCCCCACCGCCCTCGCTGTTGCCTTGGGTTCCGTCACCGGAGGTGGCGATTCTGGCTCGGTCTTCAGTGCTTCCCCAGAGCCCGGAGCTGGCGCAGCCCAGCGCTCCGTCCTCGGCTTCCCCCTGGGTTCCAGCGCCAGCCCATTTCAGAGCCGTCTCCACCCTTCAGAACGGCCATGGTGGCACACTCTTCCCCACAGTGACAGCCTCTTCTCCGTGGCCAGCTCTGGGGGCTACAACCTTTTACTGCACAGGAGCAAAGGAAACGCGAATGGGTGTCCTGGGGACGCTCTCCGTTCCAGGCGTGGCCCGTGGCCCTTTATCAACGTGTGCTTGCCCCTGCCTGGCCCTGACCCCCTGCTCCGGGACCCCACTCCTCTCTGTTCCCATTCTGGCAGGAGAGCACCTGCAGAAGCACTGCTGGTGGCAAGGCTGTGCCCAGTGCCCGGCGGGGCTGGAGGGCAGCAGTGGAAGGGTGGGAGTAGCTGAGCCACTTCCTTCCTAGCGGCTGCTCGAGGGGGCTGGCGGGTGCCTGGGGCCAGGAGTCAGGGCGCACGCGCCTTCCTGTGGCCCACCTCCTCGGCTGTTGCCTTGGATTCACTCAAGGTGGAATCCTGCCGCCTCGGTCCTTTGTGCCTTCCCCGGAGCTGGTGGAGCTCAGCGCCCCCACCACTCAGCCCCACTATGGCCTGTTCCCACCCTGGGGCAGGAGCCCTCTTGTCAGCTCTGGGCCCTCCTCCAGGCAGCCTTCCCTGCCTGCCTGGCTACATTCCTCTCTGTCTTGCTCATCGTTTCTCTTTAACACGTGGAGCGAGCATGCATGAACATCCACAGTGGCTGGCCGGGGCCATGTCCTCTTCCCTGGCTCGCCAGTGGTAATACGCCATGGCTGCAAGCCCAAGAGGGTCAAGAGGAGGTACTGCCCCTCTTTGGGCGTCTGCATCATTTGTTGCCTCGCTAATTCCTCTCCCCGAGCCTCAGCGCTTTATCTGTGAAGGGGGCCGGTGCCATGTAATGAGACCCACTGGCCAGCGCCTCATTCACAGCTGAGCCTGGAGGGCTGGCAGGGTAGAGAGGGAGGTTGGTGCAGGGTCCTGCGAGTATCCATTTACCCAGTCAGCCTATGCAGGGCAAGGAAAACTTGCAGGGAGGCATTCATGTGTCAGCTGCACCCCACACACCTCTGGCCATGACTGCAGGGGCAGGTCCAGCCTGGGCCTGGCAGGGCCAGGGCTGGGGGCCAGGCAGAGGCCTGCTGCTCAAGAGCATCAAGGGGTGGGGCACTCAGCACGGGGCTTCTGCAGGTGGGGGGGTCAGGCATAGAGGACTGCATCTCCAGGGTGGTGGGGAGACGGGGATGCAGAGGGGGCCCCCCAGGGGCTGGAGCTAAAGCACAGCACTGGCGTCCACTCAGCAGCTCCTGCCTGGGCACCTGTGGGGGCCCAAGGAGGGAGAAACCAGCTTCCGGGGGTACTGTCAGCACGGGGGCACGGGTGAGAGGCAGGTACTCTGTGAATCTGGTCATTTCAGTGGGGCTGGTTCCCAGAGGGTGGAAAGCAGCGACTCCAACGGAGAGTTGTGCGAACACCCACAGCAGCCAGGTTACAATCACCAGCAGGCAAAAGCCGCTCAGGCAGCCACCAGCAGGGGAATGCCTGAGCCAAAGACTGTCCAGCAAGAGAACGCTGTTCATCCCAGCTGAGGGAGGAAGTGCTCAGCCCTGCTCCAGCAGGGCGGGCCTTGGGGCCTGGTGCTGAGAGCAGGAAGCCAGACACGGAGACACCTGGCGTGTGAGGTGCTGAGAGCAGTCACCTCCTCAGAGACAGGCTGCGTGTGGGTGCCCGGGGCCGGGAGAGGGTGTTCTGTTGGGGCTGTGGTTGGTGGCGATGGCTGGACAACAGGGTGGACAGACTTAGCGCTGCTGAGCCCTGCTTCTGGAAGGGGCTAGACGGCCACTTGTACGTTGTTTCTGTGTAAGCCCTGCTTTGCCCAGCGAGGTCATGGGACTCAGCAGTGTGGAGCTGGGACGAGGCAGCTCTCCTGGCACTCCAGGCCTCACAGCCTCAGAGCCTGCATGTTGGGAGCAGAGTCTGGCTTGGGCAACCCGAGGGTTAGGCTGATATGGGAGAGGGCAGCCCTTCCATTGTGGGTACACCGGGCAGGCCTCCTGATGAGGGGCCCACCTGGCAAGGGCTTGTCCTCCTAGAGGCCACAAGTCCTGTCCACGGGGCAGCTGCCGTCTGGCTGCAGCTGGTCTTTGCCTGGCTATGAGAGAGTTGTTCGAGATCTGGGCCTGGCTGAAACTCCCCTGATGTTTAGATGTCGGCACCTGCCTGGTTGTGTGAACAAGCAAGTGGCACGACCCCTGCGGGCGTCAGTCCGGGCGCACACAGCCTGAGTCCCAGCTAGCTCTGCATTCTGGCCCCTGTTAGCAGGTGCTGCGTCACGTTGACCCCGGCTCTGTGGTTGGTCCTCTGAGCATTTCTCTTGCTTTCAGAGCACTCAGAGGAGGGGTCTGCAGATAGAGAAGCAGGCCGAGAACCTTGGGTCAGGATTCTGTTCAAGCTGCGGTCGTGGCTCTGCATTCAGGAACTACAAGCTCTGGATGACTTGCTTCTGCCTGTCCGTGCCTGAGTTTCCTCATCTGTCAAGTGGCAATAGAATAGTTCCCATCTTGTAGGAGTGGGTAAAGACTGCGGGAGGGTGTTGGTCCAGAGCAGGGGGAGCTCCTCGGTGTGTGTGTGTGTGTGTGTGTGTGTGTGTGTTGGCCCCTGCAGGAGGAGAGTGAGTGCAGAATTGGACAGGCCACCTCTGGAGAGTTACACAACCTCGGGCGTTTGTTCCTGCGTCTCTGACGTAGGTCCGGGAGCTCGTCCTTGGTGTCATCCTGAGGATGCAGCAAGACCCTGTTCTGATGCTGCCTGGCCACGGGGTGCCCAGTACTTGCTCCTTCTGTCACTTGGATTTCAGGCCATTGCCATCTGCCGAGACTTGAGAGGGGCGAGCCGGGGCTGGCCAGGGTGAAGCCAGGGTGAGCTTAGAGTGCTTCCTGGACACCCAAGGGGCCCTGGGCCCCCAGAACAGCTTACTCTCTGATCAAGGCCTCCATCGGAGCCCCCACGGCAGTTCTGAGACTGTTAGGAATCCCTGGCTCTGTGCCTGCTTCTTGATACTCCTCCCATGAGCCCCCTGAGGAAGGCCTTCGTGCCCCTGTTTTACCAAGGAAGCAATCTGCAGATGGGGCTGGACAAAGGGTAAGCTAGCCAGGCTCACCTGTGGGAGGCCACGAGCCAGGCTCCACCAGGCATCCCTGGATTCGCTGTTGGGGCAAAGGACCTTATCTCGCCCAGACCTTACCCAGGAGGGAGAGAATGGAGGGCCAGGGAGCCACGGCCCCGCCCATGGAGGGGGCAAAGGGCCTTGGAATCCTGATACTGGGGGGCCCAGAGGACCTCATGGCTTGTGGTGGGGACACACTGCTGGGTACGCCAAGGACTCACTGTGGAAGGGATGTGTGTGCAGGTGCACCAGGGACTCACTGCTGTGGAGGGAGGGGCCCAGGTGCACCAGGGAATCACTGCTGGGGTGGGGGTGGGGGTGAGGGTGGCCACAGGAAACTCTCAGGCTTGAGACCTGCCTGGAGGAGATGTGTGAGGGTCTCAGGCTTGGGAATATGGCTGACTGGACCTGTAGCCCCTGCCAACTGTCAGCCCTGGAAGCGGGGGGGTGGAGGTGGGATGCAGGCTTGGCAGCTGGGGCAGCACCCACATGAGCCCACTGTTTTCTTCCCCATCTCTGCAGGGGGAGGAGGGAAGCGCAAAGGGAAGAGCAAGAAGTGGAAGGAGATCCTGAAGTTCCCTCACATCAGCCAGTGCGAAGAACTGCGGAAGACCGTGGGTAAGCAGGGCTGCCTCGAGGGGCCCGCCAGCTGTCAGCCAGTGCGTCAGAGGGAGTCCCCTAACGCAGGGTGGGGTTTCGGGGCGGAGCTCGGCCGACGACGTTGCTAAGGGAAGCAGAGAGACCCTGGCTCCCCTGAGTACTTGGTGCTGCGGAACAGTTATCCCCCAGCTGCCCTTTAAGGCAGGTGCTGCTATTTTTCACCACCTATCGGATGGAGAAACTGAGGCACAGAGTGGTTGTGTAACTGGCTCCAAGTCTCCCAGCTCATGGGAGGGCAGTGAGGTGGGCCAGGCCCAGCCCTGAGCCCCCAGCTGCAGCTCTCTGCCGTCCCTTTCTGGAACCTGTATGTCCTGCTCCCAGAGAACAGCTCCAGGCTTCAGGAGCTGGGCTGGGGAGTGAGCGTCTGGGTCCCCTTTCCTCTCCCTGCCCCCCACTCAGGGCCCAGCACAGTCTTCTCCATCTGGCTCCTGCATGGCCACACCAAAGAGTGAAATGGGGCTCATTTTCCAGGGGAACTGGTACAACCCAACACACCAGGCGGGTCCATCTGTGGGGAGGAGGCTGGGATGGCTGGGTAGGGGCTCCCAGGGGGAGGCGTGATGGTGGGGGGTTCCCCATTCCTTCATGAAGCCTCCTCATCTGTTCCTGTCTGTCAGAGTCACAGACAAGCTAGACCCATTTCATAATGTCCAGGTCCACTGAGCACCGGACACAGGATGGCTGTTCCCCAGAACACTGCAGGCCCAGCTGTTTTGGGGGGACTTGTGCCCAGGCCTTGGGGTCCCTGCCTTAAACCTACCTTGGAATGTGCTTTTCTGAATGGTGCCTCCCAGAGTTCCCAGGCAAGGTGGACTTCCACCCTTCCCCGGGCTTGCTGCGTCCTGGCCCTGGGCTGTTGGCTCCACCCCCCACCCACCCCCGAGACCCTGGTTGCCCTGCGATGAGAGCAGGTGACGACCCTTGGCTCCATGACCCTGCACTGCCCAGTGTGGCAGGGAGCTCCGTTATCTGGTGTTTATGACATGAAAGGCAACCCTGCACCCCATGGAGGCTGCTGTGAGCAGGGGAAGTTGGGGAGGGAGCTGCAGGAGGGGTACCTGTCTTGGATCTACCTCCCGTCCTTGCAAGCCCAGTCAGGTTGGAATCCTCACGGTGCTCTGGAGGTGGAGAATGGAGCTGGCTCATGGGCTTGGGCCACTGAGCCCAGTAGATGTGGGTTCAAATCCCACCCTTCCTAGTGGCCACATAAGTTACTTTCTCTCGCAGAGCCTCAGTTTCCCAAGCTGTCACGCATGGCCGTGAGCCCACTCTGGGGTGTGGAGTGGATCGTATGAGGCTGTGTGTATAAAGAGTGGAGCGGGGGACCACTCAGCAGCCCTGGGCCTCGCTCTCCAGCACTCTGGCTTGCTTTCTCGAAGTCCCACCAGCCGGCCCCCTTTGTGGCCCCTCCTGGCCTGAGCCTTGGATGCCACACCCACCCTTGAGATCCAGCCTTTCTGCTGGAGACCCATGGGGCGGAGGGAGAGAAGAGCTGCTTCCCTCCTCTCCACCTCCGGTCTGGCATCCGAGAGTGCAGGGTTCTGCCAGGAGCCCCCTGGGTCCATGGGCCCCTGGGTGTGGGCACTGTCGCCATCTGTCCCTCAAGTGGAACTTGAACCCAGCACTCTGATATAGGGTGAGGGCCTCCTGACCACTACACCATGCCCTGGGAGGCTGTGAAGAGCCTGGGGGCTGGCACATGGGCATGAGGCTGTGCTGTCCTGGAGGGCATTGAAGAGGCTGTGTGTGGTAGGTAGAGGCCCTCGGAGGCAGAGGGGCAGAGGGGCGGCAGCACAGCCTGTGACAGGGCTCGGGGCCTCCCTGCTGGTTTCCAGCCTGGCGAGTACCCGGCCTCCATGGGGGTCCCACGGGAAATGTCACTTCTCTCAGACCCTTACACGAAGTAGACTGGCAAACACTGAGTTTATGGTTCTCATGGCCACGCGAGTACTGGCTGAGGCTGCATGGGTGGGTGTCCTAGAGTGGGCTTCCTGCCAAGGAGACAGGGCCCCAACGGCAGTGGAGTGGTGCGGTGGGAGATCTCTGGATCAGAGGGAAGGGCAGAGCCCACAGGACCCAGGGACACTGCCCCTGGGGACCATCCAGAAGAGAGGTCAGTTAAAGCCACGGCCCTCTCCTGTCCCCAGCTCTGGCCTGGCCGGCCACAGGCCTCCCAGTGAGAAGGCTTCCTGTGAGCCTTCTCCCCCCAGTACCCCATCCCACCTACGGTAACCCCCAGAGTCCTTCCCAAAGCTCCAAGCACTGCAGCCAGTGGAGCATGGTCTCCTGGTTGGGCAGTAACTCGTCACTGTAAGTCTGTATGAGAAGGAAGTTGTGACTGTGTCCAGGGGGTCTCTGCAATCTCCCCGGGGCCACCTGGGGTCCCTCCCTCCTCCAGCCGGCAGCCGCAGTGCCCACCCCTTTGTGCTGTGAAGGCCTCTGCGCCCGCTTCTCCCCCACACTTTCTTCCAGGAGCGTTTTCCGTCTTGGTCCACAGGGAAGCCTTTGCAGAGGGCCCCGTGCCCTCCCTCCGACTGCGCCGTTCCTGCCCATGGCGCTGCTTGTTTTACGCTCTTTGCCCACAGCTGTTCAGCTGAGTAGTTTCTGCCTCCCACTCTGGACTGGATGTTCTGTGTTAATCGCGACTGTGTCTTGCCTGGCTTGCTGTTAGAACAGTGCCTGGCACAAAATAGGGGCTCATTAAATACTGTGTGAATGAAGGAATGAATGAGGTGAAATATCTGAAATTAGGGCTCTTGTTAAAAAGCGTATGATGTGGGCCGGCGCCGCGGCTCACTAGGCTAATCCTCCGCCTAGCGGCGCCGGCACACCGGGTTCTAGTCCCGGTCGGGGCGCCGGATTCTGTCCCGGTTGCCCCTCTTCCAGGCCAGCCCTCTGCTGTGGCCAGGGAGTGCACTGGAGGATGGCCCAGGTGCTTGGGCCCTGCACCCCATGGGAGACCAGGAAAAGCACCTGGCTCCTGGCTCCTGCCATCGGATCAGCGCGGTGCGCTGGCCGCAGCGCGCCGGCCGCGGCGGCCATTGGAGGGTGAACCAACGGCAAAAGGAAGACCTTTCTCTCTGTCTCTCTCTCTCACTGTCCACTCTGCCTGTCAAAAAAAAAAAAAAAAAAAAAAAAAAAAAGCGTATGATGTGTGTTTGCCGTACCCAAATGTCACCTTCACCAACAGCTTAAACTGAAAGCAATGAGAGTATAGCCTCAGAAGGCACCTTGGGAAGCATCTCTCTCAACTGCCAGCCCCACCCTTTCTACACGGATGACACCCATGGGGACCTTGGCACGGTTACAAGGCTCAGACACATCTCGTGGACACTCCAAAGGAGGTGCAAGGTGGCTCTCCACCCAGGCCAGCTTCCCCTCCAGTTGTCGACTGAATAATGATCAAAGCAGTCTCAGACTTCGAACTGGAGAGCATGCTGTCCAACCACCCAAGTCCGAGGAGGGCAGACAGGCTCCCAAAGGAGATGGAGTGCCTGGGACAGGGCAGCCCCCTGTCCTCACTCCTCAGCAGCCTACTGATGCCTGAACATGTGGGGCATTCACCCCAGACCTGCGCTAATTCGTGGCTGAGCCCAGAGGCTGCCTGAAATCCAGAAGTGGTGATGACAAATTGACGCGCTTGCACCGTGGTGAGGGACAGGCTCCTGAGCTGGAAGACGGGGCCGAGGGTCTCCGTCCATCAGAACTTCCTGGAGCAGGGGGCATCCCTTCATGGGTCACGTCCTCTCCATCCGGGGGTCTCCATGGCTGGGGTGAGTGCATGGATGGACAGACAGATGGACGTCCCCACCTCCTCAGCCGGGAGCCCAGGATGGCAATGGGGAAGAGCGCTTCCAGTATGAGACCTGGACATGAGCTAACCAGTTTCAGACAGAACTGGCAGAGGGAAGACCGTGAGAGGAGGAAGGGTTCTTTGATGCCTGCTCCGTGGAGCATCAAACAGTGACCTTACCCGTAATAGGCTGATTGTTCATGTCCGATCCAAAGAAGTCCTCAGAATGTCCAGAACTTGGACAGCCCGGGACGTCATCGTGCGGATGAAAGATTGCTGAGGTCTGCATGTATTTCGCAGTGACGCAGAAAGTTTGGCTGGGCCAAAGTGTGGCATTTTTACTGATTTAGCTCAGGCTCATTGCATACTTTATCCTTTCACTTAAAAGCAGAAAGTAGGAGGGGGCTTGAGTGAAAGACTTGATTATTCTACCACTTGGCAATATTTCTGTAGGAACTGTCCAAAGCTATATAATAAATCAAGGCCCCCTGCCCACCCCCTGGCAGCCTGACGTTTACCGGGGGGTGATCGCAGAAAGCGGCTGCTGCGTCTGGCCCGTCACCGCCGTGCCCCGAGCCCTGGTGGGCAGGCCGGAGGGACTGACCTGCCTTGGTGTGGGAGGGTCTCTTGCCAACACCTTAACTCTTTGCAGAGGTAGAAGCGCTAGGCTGTGGGGGCATTCCTAGCTGCAAGTAGAGGATCCTGACGTGAGAAAACAAACGCAAACCCGTGAGATTGTCAAGACTTTCTCGCACTTGCCTGGTACTTGGTTATCCACTCAACATTGCCGCGTTCTTTAAGCAGGAGATGGGGCAGCAGCTGCTCGTTGAGCTCCTACGATCAATCACTACGCGTTGTCGTATCGTTGGCCACAGGCTTGTGGAAGGCTCTTGGTCACTGTTGCCAAGGTCAGATGGTGACTTTGGGTGTGTTGCTTAGTTTCTCTGGGCTGCAGTGCCTTTGTCTTTAAAACAGAAACATTAATACTTGCCTGGGAGGTCCAGCAGAGTGTCTTACACATGCTGTCATGATCATCTTCATAGTCATGGTGGTGGAGATTTTAAAATTTTGTTTATTTGTTTGAGAAGCAGAGGAGAGAGAGAGAGCGAGCGAGCGTGCAAGTGTTCCTACCTGTGTGCTGACTCTCCATTTGGAGCCCACAACA